GGGGCCCGTGGCGCACAGTGAGCGCCACCCCGGGGGTGCCGCAGATTGACCCCCCCACGGCGCATGGGGAGGGGGGAGAGAGCGCCGGCCCCGGGCGCGCGGCGCTTGAGAGGAGAGCGCCGGCCCCCGGAATGCGGCTATGGGGGGGCCCTGCCTCCCCTGGGCGCCCGGTGGGCGAACGGCCATGCCCCCTGGCGCCCGGCAACCCCAAATGGTGGACCACTGGTCTAGATGTACCCTGAAAGTTGTGAAGTTCCAAAATTATTGTCCACCCCTGGTCTAGATGGTGCTTGGTCTGCCGGGAAGGCAGGGGACTGGACTTAATGACTCTCTCAAGGTCCTTTCCAGTTCTACTGTTCTATTATTCTAACCTAGCTTCTCCCACATTCGCCCTCTCTCACCTTGAACAGAGTCACCGTGGCGCTGTAGCACACGCTCACGAGGAAGAGGGTGAAGAAGACCGTGATGGTGCTCCAGAGGCTGGAGAACTAGTGTAAAACTCGCCAGACATGATCATCTCTTGGGGGGAGAGAAAGAGATGTCACTTCTGAGTCAGCTAATGTCACAGAGAGAGCTGGGCTGTTTCACCCCACACCACTCCGACTGTGTCTACACTGGCACCCTTTTCCGGAAAAGGGATGCTAATGAGACCAGTCGGAATTGCAAATGCCCCGGGGATTTAAATTTTCCCCGCGGCATTTGCATGAACATGGCTGCCGCTTTTTTCCGGCTCCGAGCTTTGCCGGAAAAAAGCGCCAGTCTAGACAGGCATCTTGCAGAAAATAAACCCTTTTCCGCAAGATCCCTTATTCCCCTCCCCTGCCCCCACCCTTTCACTACTTTTGCTGGGCTGGCGGGAGGCTGACAAAGGGAAGGAGCCCGGAGCAAGTTGCTCGGTGGCCAGCAGCAGTGGCAGGAGTCTGCAGGTGGCCACGGCTTACAGGAGCAAAGCCGGGGCATGGTGCTTGTTGCTCGTTGCTCCTGCGTGATCCAGCCGGGCGCCCTTCCCTGCCTGCAGCCACCGCCGCACGCCGGACCCGCTGTGCACTCGCTTGTTGCTCCCGGGCCGGTGCCTGACTTGTTGTCCCGAACCATGTCCCGCAACTTCCTTCCCTTTGTCAGCCCGGGCTGGGAGTCTCCCACCTTGAGCCTCTGCTGGGGATGCCTTTGCCCTGGCTCTGGAGGGTTCCCAGCTGCGGAGCCCCTTGTAAGTTTCCCCATGTTGTTCAGTCCTGGATTGGGAGCCTAACCCCCCGCACCATAAATATACCCGTGCACCCTAAATATACCCTCAGCACAGTCTTATATACCACGTGGGTTATACTCGTGCGTAGGGTATACAAATTTTTTTTTACTGAAATAGCAAAAAACGCAGGTTATATTCAGGTGCGGGTTATATTTGGGTGCAGGGTATACAGGCAGTCCCCGGATTACATGGATCCGACTTACATCGGATCCCTACTTACAAACGGGGTGAGGCAACCCCGCACTAGCTGTTTCCCCCCAGCAGACCAGGGAGACACGAAGCTAGCGCTCCCCCCAGCAGACTAGGGAGACGCGAAGCTAGCGCCCCCCCCAGCAGACCAGGGAGACACGGAGCGGCTTTTCTCAGCAGACACCTCAGCTTGAGAATAAAGGACTGAGGGAAGTGAGGTGTGGGAGAATAAAACTGAGCTCTGGAGAAATGTTTGGCTAGAGTTTCCCCTACAATATGTACCAGTTCCGACTTACATACAAATTCAACTTAAGAACAAACCTACAAGTCCCTATCTTGTACGTAACCCGGGGACTGCCTGTACAACTATATTTCAAGAAACTCACAACATAAGAGAAACAGGAAAAAAAAAAGTGGCACACAGGCAATTTACCAAATCTATGAGTCTTTGAAGTATGGTACCGTCTCTGTGTTGGGTTTCTCTCTGTGTGTACAAGCACAACAGCTCAGGTGAGAGGCTCCCTGTGTCATGGAATGGTATATGTAGGTCCATGTGCACTGGACTGAGCTCTCTCTCTCTCTCTCTCTCTCTCTCTCTCTCTCTCTCTCTCTCACACACCCCCCCACACCCCCCCTCTCTCTCACTCCCCTCCTCTCTGTGCACCTCCACATTTAGACCTTGTGTTGCACCCCAGGGTAACAGCCTTAACACCAGGCGTGACCTCTGTGCTGGGCACTGATTGATTTGAGGCCTGCACTCAGCCATCCATGGCTGCTCTCTCTCTCTCTCTCTCTCTCTCTCTCTCTCTCGCTCTCTCTGTCAGACAACCCCCCACTCCCCTCCTCTCTGTGCACCTCCACATTTAGACCTTGTGTTGCACCCCAGGGTAACAGCCTTAACACCAGGCGTGACCTCTGTGCTGGGCACTGATTGATTTGAGGCCTGCACTCAGCCATCCATGGCTGGGGCTGATTTGCACTTAAGGGGTGCAAATCTGAGTGAGGAGCCATGGAGGAGGGGGGCTCGTATGGGGACAGAAGGGCAATCTGCATCGTTTGTGCCACCCCATGACTTGGGCCCTCTGCGTCAGCAAAGCTAGTGACATTTTAGCTTGCTTAGTATCTGCTCCAGCTAACAGCTCAACGAGTGCTGTGACTTTGTGGGGACAGAGTCCCTGGAGCTGATCCCTGGAGCTAGATCTCTCCTGTATATTGTCCTAGATCCCTCTTCTCAGCTGCCACTGAGGATGGGGGGTGGGGGTGGAGGGAGAGCCTTTAGCGTCCTACCAGCAGGCGGGTTGTATACAGGTGCCAGGGTATTTCAATCAGCTCCCTGCCACTGACTCCATCTAGAACATCCCTGTGGGTATCTGTTCCTGTCTGGGGTGGTAGGGTGGGTCAGGGTGTATGTTGATCCCGATACAGAGGATCTCGGCTGAATGGGATGCCAGGAATGGCTGGACCATCTAGTAATTCAGCTACCAACCCAGGCATCCTATGCTTCAGACATCCTTATCTGGAACCTCCACCCACCATTACTACCATGCATCCATGTAGACCTATGAAAACCACATTCCCACCTCAGCATCCATTCTCCCACCCAACCAACCATCCATCCAACCATCCAACCATCCATCCATCCATCCGTCTGTCCATCTGTCCATTGCTTTGTTCACCCATGTATTCTTCCTCATCTGTACCTGCTCACCCAGCCATTGCCCTACCCATCAACCATCCATCCATCCATCCATCCATCTGTCCGTCCGTCCGTCTGTCCATTGCTTTGTTCACCCATGTATTCTTCCTCATCTGTACCTGCTCACCCAGCCATTGCCCTACCCATCAACCATCCATCCATCCATCCATCCATCTGTCCGTCCGTCCGTCTGTCCATTGCTTTGTTCACCCATGTATTCTTCCTCATCTGTACCTGCTCACCCAGCCATTGCCCTACCCATCAACCATCCATCCATCCATCCATCCATCTGTCCGTCCGTCCGTCTGTCCATTGCTTTGTTCACCCATGTATTCTTCCTCATCTGTACCTGCTCACCCAGCCATTGCCCTACCCATCAACCATCCATCCATCCATCCATCCATCTGTCCGTCCGTCCGTCTGTCCATTGCTTTGTTCACCCATGTATTCATTCTCGTCTGTACCTACTCATCCAGCCATTGCTCTACCCATCAACCATCCATCCGTCCATCCTTCACCCTGCACATGCATCCATCCATTCTCATTTCTCTGTCACCATTCATTCCCGTCCGTGTTGATGCCCATCTCTCTCCATCTATCGCCACCCACACATTCATCCTCTCATCCTTCAAAACAGGAACTCCTCTAACCTTCTCCATAGATTTAGCCATCCATCCCCATCTGCGGATGCACTGGTACCCCCATGTCACACGTAAACTTTCCAGCCATCAGTTCCCCATTAAAATACAGTCTAATGAATCGGGGATCTGATTTTTATCTGGGAACTTATGTGACATTGGGATGGTCCTTTCCTTCTTGATGTCTCTGTTTCATCTCCATCTTTCTCTATTTAGGTGTGAGTCCTTTGACACCAGAAGCATTTCCCACAGTGTCTGGGACTAAGAGGGCAACTTTACTCCAAGTAATTCTCTCCCCTGACCCACCTCTCTCTCTCTCTCTCTCTCTCTCTCTCTCTCTCTCTCTCTCTCTCTCTGCACTATCTGTTGGTCTCTTAGGGTATGTCTACACTACCCTCCTAGTTCCAACTAGGAGGGTAGTGTAGACATACCCAGACTCCTTCTCTCAGAAACATGTATGTATCCTTGAAACCTGCTCTCTAAACACATGGCCACCCAACTGAGCTGAACATATCTGTCCCTCTGAAATTTCTAAGTATATGTGTAATTGTCTCTGTAGACCTTTCTCCAAAACTGCTTCCATGATGTATCCATCAATAATTCTTTCCATTGCATCAACCTTTGTATCTTTCCATCTTTCCACCTCTTCAATTCATCCATTCTTCAATGGTAGCAACTGGTCTTCCCTTCCATGGTGTCTAAATATGTGTCAAAACATCTGTCCATTCACAGCAACTACCCATTTATCTACCCATACTTCCTTCCAGGACATCTGTTCATGTGTCTATCCATCCTTCCTTCCACATTACCTACTCATGTATCTACGCATCGTTCCTTCCATGGTTTAACCCTGTTTTTCTTTTCATAGTATCTGCCCATGTAACTACCCTTCCTTCCATGGTATAACCCTTGGAGTATCTTGACATCTCCCAGCCCCCAGCCTTTGAATTTCTCCCCCGTGAACAGCCCACAGACTTCACTCAGTGACACCGCAACAAGGAGACCTTGGGCTGAGCTCACACTAGTTTCATTTATTCACTTGTCATCATTAATGGCACAGAGATAATTTACAGGAAGCTCTCCCAGACAATGCTAGCAGTGGGGCTGGGAGGAGCCATCTTCATTTACCAGGGACATTGCGGATGTTGCGTTGGGTGAACATCTTTGGCTTCAGGGCTTCGTGGATGACTATACAGGTATAGGTGATCCCTCTGTTCCAGCTGTCCTTGTCGACTGTCATCTTGCTATAGAGGAAGTAGTTCAAGTCGCCGTCTCTTTCCTTCATGGGTGAGGTGGTGACAGGTTTCATGCTGTCTTTGGACTCTTGGTTCTCCATCCACTTCACTGAGATGTGCTCAGGGTAGAAGTCCCGCACCAGGCAGGTGAGGCTGACGGAGTCTCCATTGCTGCTCAACTCCTCAGGGTGGGGGTGCAGGAGGTAGACACGCGGAGGAGACGTCCTGCCTTCTGTGGGTGGGGATGGAGGACACAGATGAGCCATGCATATCACTGTGCTGGGACCACATGGGGGTAAGGACAGGGCCTGTGTACATGTGTGTATGTGTGTGATTGAGTGTATGTGTGATGGACTGTAGGAACATGACCTGTCTCCTGCAGGATGGAGGAGCTAGGGACTGGCATTTGGTAGTCTTGGGGTAAGGAATAGGAACTTGAAAGGTATCCACTTCATATGGATGCAGAGGGACCCAGGGCCAGGATCCCATGATGTTGGGGGTTGGGGCTTCCCCTGAAAGACCATCCCTCCCTGCTGGGGGCTGTAATAGGGGTCTCTCCCTTAGGGACCGTACTCTCCTCCTACCTTGCTTCTTGGAGATGGATCTGATGATGGGTGAGGGAAGCTCCGAGTGCTCCACTTTGCAGGTGTATTTCTCTCCAGACTCCCAGTCATGGAGGACGATGGGAAGGGAGCTGGAGGCGGTGAAGGTGCCATTGTGTTGCCTACTCTTGACAATGGGTCCAGGGTTAAGGGGCCCTGACTTCTCCCAGGTCCAGATCACTGTCAGGCCAGCCACAGTAGACAGGTTGACCACCAGGCAGGTGAGCATGGGGCTCTGAGCTACATACATTTCAGAAGGGGCTGGGGGCACCATGAAAACAAGGATGTTGCTTCTATATGTAATTCCGCCTGGAAACAAGAGAGCCTACGTCAGGCACTAGACCTGCTCTCCCTGTCCGAGCCCACCCCAGACTCCCTTCTCCTCCTTCAAACCCAGCCCTTTCCCAGCCTTCCAAAGCATCCCATCTGTGTGTCACCTTTGCACTTGCTGGCTTGCTTCTCCACTGTTTTGCCCTGGTGGGACACCTTGCAGGTGTATATCTTCTCCTGCATCCAGTCTTCTTGGGAGACACTGGCATTGCTGTGGGTGCTGAAGGTGGGGCTACTGGCATCCTTCTTGGCAGGGGCCGTATCTCCACGAAGCTGCCCAGACACACCATCCACCAGCCACTCCACCATCAGGGGCATGGGGGAGAAGCCGGAGATGAGGCAGAGCAGGTGGATGGTGCTTGGCTTAGTGGTGCAGGAGGAGTGGTAGACTTGCACCGTGGGTTCGATACGTGTGGGTTCTGGGAGAAGGGTGGCAGGTGTTAATTTTACAGGTCCCTCCACCACTTTCCCTGTATCATGCCCCTCCCCATTTGGCATTCTGCTGCCGACTGCACAGTGCCCCCTTTGGAGACCTCTGCCCCTTCTCCCAGCAGTGGAAAGACCCATTTGCAGGATCTCTCTCTTCTCATCCCTCCCCCTTTCTCTGTATGGCTCCCTCCCCCTTCTCCAGATCCCA